GGGTGTTGTTGTTCTGTGTCTGTGATCTGATCAGCGAGTTTCTGTAAAGCGGAGCTCACGTGTGCTTGCGGAGGAATGTACACACTGACGAGAATGAACGAACAAAACTCCCGCGGCGAGTAGAACAGCTTACAGTTAATGAAGAGCACTTCTATATCTGAACAACACATCTTCTTTAACACAGTTACATCTGTACACCACCTCTCATTGATGTAAAAGCATGTCCCGCCGCCGCGCGATTTCCCCGTTGATTCTGCGTCGCGATCTGCTCTGAACAGCTGAAAGCCCGGCAGACTCAACGCGCTGTCCGGAATGGCGTCTTTCAGCCAGGTTTCCGTGAAACACAGAGCAGCAGAGTTTGAAAAATCCTTATTTGTCCGGGAGAGCAGAAGGAGTTCGTCCGTTTTGTTGGGTAGAGAGCGTATATTGTATATAATTTGCGAGCGTCAGGGATCTGCTGTCGATATGCAGGAGACGCTGGGACAGGAGGGATGTCTGATATGAAATAAACACAAAATATGGGAATTTAATCCATTCATTAGATTCAGAAGACTTGGCCTGTCATTTATGTCCTTTTTGAAGTTTGTATGCACAAAAACAGATGAAACATTCCTCAAATATCTTCCCCTATATGGGGAAGTCGCGGCCTAATGGTTAGAGAGTTGGACTCGTAACCCAAAGGTGTGTTAAATGAAGATCTGTGTGTTTATGGGCGACACTGATGCGGTTTGACCCCTGAATTCAGCTCTATGAATGTATTTGACATTATGATGCTTCACAAACACAGCATTAGCAGCGGATCTCATTCATTATAGATCAGTTTCTCTGTTCTCTTTTGAAAAGCACACAATAACAGTATGATGTCAGACGCAGAAAACCATAAAACTACATCTGAGAAATGTCACTGTAATTCAGTGTCTGTGTGCGGGATATGATAACACGATGTGTTTCATTACTGTGTTACAGCTAGATCCATCATTACTGTAGAAATAATAATTGTTATAATTGCACACACACACACACACACACATAGTCACATATACATATTTTGTCAGGTAAATGTTCATCCCTTATGTGAATAAACTATAGGAATGAATGGTCTTTTCTAAATGCAGAATATTTCCATTTTACTTTGAAAAGACCTTTATTCTCTGTCTCTGAGAGACTGCAGAGGTTTCCAGATGTTGTTTAGTGGCCGGTTGCATAAAATGCTTAGATTAGTCTTACAAGTAAGTCATCATATTTTTTTTAAGACTGGACATAACTTTTTTTTTAAGCCAGTTACATAACAAAAACCTAGATTGGTCTAATTTGAATCCAAAAAGTAAGAGTTACTCAGTGGCTCAGACTGGATCTTAAGACAGTGGCTAAGTTTATGTAATCGGCTCCTGATGTCCATTTTATTATTCTGACATGCAGAGACCTTTATATATATACTTTAGGAGTATTTTTGCACAGTGACATTGCTGACGTTTTTTATGGTGTCTTCTGTTAGGAAACTCTATCGATTGTGGTGTTTGATGGCGTGTGAAGGAGCGAGATCCGCCGCTCGTGTTGAGAGATGAAGGATGAATCTGTTCGTCCTCTGACGTCCTAAACGTGTCCTCGGCGAGGTCAAAGCGAGCAGTTTCACGTGTCACCTCACTAAAAATAGCGGCACGCTCTCTCGGTCTCACGCTCACAGCCGAGGTTTGAGGAGTTCATTTTCATCAGTTCCTTGTTTTATTTTCCTATTATTGCTCTCTGAAGTTGCAGCAAATCATCACATCTTTAACCCTTTCATGCGATCTGCAGAGAGCTGTAATGTGGAAGTGTTTGGTGACTTTGACCGTTGCAGTATTTCAGTGATTTATGATCCTCTGAAAGGACAGCGATTATCATTGACTGAAGACATAATGTACAAGATCTAAATATGTCTGTCCTTTAAATCAGGGTCGGTTTTCTCTTCTAAACTGGACCAGAGTTTTCTTTTGGTCACTCTGATCTTGAATTTCACTGTCTGTATTATTGTTTTATCACATTCACTGCAGATGTCCGTGTGGAGGTCTGACGAGATCTCCGAGTCGTTTCAGTCTCTATACCAGGATAAATGTGGGAGACATTAGTTTTCATCAGTGAGCAGAAACGCTCCTGTACAGTGTTTCTAGTCCTTCGTGAAGGTGAAGGTTTGAGAGGTTGATGAATGACTGAAGCGTTGGAGCAGAAAGCCTTTGTCCATCCTGACAGAAATCATAACTGCCTCATATGAGTCGTGCTTCTGTTACTCAGATCATTTAGACTCGTCTATCATCAAGTACAAATGAACTCAAATGAAACCTTTATTATTCCTAAATTCCTGCTGTGACTGAGAACTGAGGTGTTTGTGTGTGCTTGTGTTTCTGAAGGACCTGGCGGGCATGAGTGCTCCTCAGAGGAATTGGAAGGGGATCGCCATCGCTCTGCTGGTAATTCTGGCGGTCTGTTCTCTCATCACCTTGTCTGTGATCCTCCTCACTCCAGGTACTGCAACTCCTGAAGTTCCTTCCTGAAATCAGTCTGGCAGATTTCTGCATTGCTAAAGTCTGGAGCGTTAGGCCGATGCGAGCGGCATTACTCGATCCGCCGTTTGTTACGTGACGCGTGAGGCCTTCAGCGGCTCTGTTTCTGACCCCACGCTCTTGTCTGTCTGTTTGTGTGACAGTGGATACGCAGCCCAGCATTGACACCAAGCTGACGGTGGAGGATATTTTCAGCGCAGATTTCTACGTACACGACCCTGAAGCGTGCTGGATCAACGGTAAGACGATACGACCGCAAAGCCACTCGCACCATTCATTTCTAATGGATCTCATTCATTAATCATCTGTACACCGTCGTGAGCTCTTAAGCACAGCTGATCGCAGAGGATGATTGATCACGACCGCAGACGCTGAGCAGTAAACATTATAAAACCAGCCGTTTAAACAAGAAACGCTCTGACCAACACATAAATCTCCATCTAAAGTTGTTTTGTTTCTGCTCTTCAGGTTTATCTGAAACTATTGAGACCGCAAATATAGACCGGCAATTTAAGCAGTTGCCCTGCCACAGTGTCGTTACTGACTGTGTAGAAATGAGTGGAAATGTGTGTAGACTTGGTGATCAGAAATTCTGCCCATCTAAAGTGGTAAATGCAGATGATTTCACAGGCAGAAAACAAAGCAGAACTTCAGTTGTGCTGGATATTTAGTTTCCCTTCAAAGTGCAAAACCCTCAAAACTCTGACCCCTGGTTTCACAGGCAAAGCTTAAGCCTAGTCCCAGACTAAAATGTAAGTCTGAGTTGTTTCAACTGAAAGAAACTTGCACTGATTGATCTTGAAATATGTCAGTGCCCTTGTTTTGTCTCAAGATGCACTCCAGTAATGTTTTTTCTAAGGCATGTTTATAGAAATTACTTTAAAATCCTAATTGAACTATGGCCTAGTCCTGGCTTAAGCTAAGCCCCGCCTGAATGACCTCAGAAGATTTAAAGCCAGATCCAGTTCTTCATCAGAAGCACAGGCATCAACCTGAACAACCGGTCAGTCAGATGCACACTGCAGCAGCTCTGGACATTATCGTGTGCAGATCTGATCAGAGCTCAGTTATCTGGATTGTGGGCCATCATTTAATATCAGGTCTAATATATATTTATATGGAAAGCATCACATTTTAAATGCCATCTGTTTCGGTGAGGTCACATCCTGACTCGTTAATATGAAGCTTCCTGCAGGACACTGAGCAGGAGCACAACGATTTGACATTTGTAATTTTCCCGTATTTTTCTTGTCTCTGTGAGGCTGTGAGAGTGTCATTCCATTGGAGCTCATTCCTGATCGAAGACTATTTGAGGACATCAAATACTTTTTCCTGCATCACAAGAACCAATGAAACACAGTAGAAATAGTTGGGCCAGCTTATAGGGAGTGAATGTGTATATTCTGAATAATATGAATAATTCACATCATGTGAAAGAATCTGATGAACTTGACCTTTTAGATCTGTGAACATAATCTAGTTACTGAAATATTTGTGTGTGTGAGTGTGTGTGTGTGTGCGTGTGAGCGTGTGTGTGTGTGTGTGTGTGTGTGTGTGTGTGTGTGAAAA